TCAACCTGCACCAAGCAGTGCAGCAACGTCCGACTGTAGTAGTGCAGTAGTACTACTTCACTGTGTACTCACTTCCTCTGCCAAGGAATGACCTTCAAAAGATACCATATGATAAAATACTAATCTGTACTATACTATTTTATTATATACTATACTATACAATAACATATTACACTAATTTATACTATTTCACTCCTAAGTAGTACAGTAAGTGACATACTATACTATCTTCACAGTATAGTGTACTGTACTATGCTATACTATTCAAACATATGCTATAGTATACATACTATACCCTACTCAACTACGTTAGACTAAGGCACACAGTATTGTATTATACTGTATTGTCCTATGCTTTACAGTACTATACTATACTCACTCTTCATTATTGTGCCACAATGTATTGTACTGTAGTATAATATTTTCATTCACATATAACGACCCATATATTTTACTATACTATACTATTCTATGTTGTACTCAATTGTACTATACTGTTGTTCCTTACTCTTATCTCTTATCTCACTAAGCTATATTTTTCTCTACTAACAGTAAACTATGCTACGCCATACTACACTGTATCATACTATACTATATATTTAAAGGTAACAGGTTTCAGGACAGTGTATAAACAGAACATCCAATGAGCACTAACAGAGATATACGTAGGTCAAATATGATATAAATGTTCTTTTATATTTGTGTGTGTGTGTGCACTGACTTGGCTTCACTAGATGCATTGCTTTAAGCAGGTGTACCTTAATGGTCAGACTGTGAGGTGATCATTTCTTCTATATCTATATCCGTCTTAGAAGGCGCAGTAATAAACTCTCTCCTCGCTCACTGAAAGTCTGGGAAGCGTTTACTTTATAGTTGTACTTATTTTACATTTAATGGCCAATAAACAGTGTCAGATCATATGGCTGCTTAGAGATAATTACAGTGCCCAAACATCAAGTTTGTTCTGCATGTGCTAAAACTTTAAACAAGAACTCTGCCGGTGCCAGCCAACCACGGTGACAATGCTGGATTTCAGAGTGTATTTCGCAGGAGTGAGGAGTGTAAAAATAGACACTGTCATCATTGGTTACTGTGAATGTCCAGCCTATAAAACAGGCAGTGTCTAAAGTGCCATGCATCCTGCAGAGTCCAGCCTGCAGTCTTTTTATCACCAGACACTGATTTGTATAAAAATTCTTAATATCTTTAAGGGCTTTGAGTCTGTGGGTATCAGTAGGATCGCCTGCTACAGAAAGGCCATTACTGAGTCGTTCTCTGCTCCTGTGAGTGTGAAAATCCAGCTTGATCAGTCGATGTCAGAGCCTTTTCATGCCTCACTCTGGTCCAACCAGTACAATCAAAACAATTGAAACGCAGCAGCTTGAGTGGAAAAAAAAGAAGAAGAAGAACCTATAACTGCACGGCAGCGTACATGCACAGTAAAGCCATGACAAGATAGTTAACTCGCTTTCACACCGTACTGCAGCCCTGGGAACTTTAATATTGTTGAAAATATGGCTGTGTTATTTACCATAATACAACAAAAATGTGTTTTAATAGGCTCCATCTGTCATGCTGCGGACAACGGCACTAAAAGGAAGTGAACATCTCCCTCTGGGAGGGTGTGAGGCAGGAGGGAGGGGGGAGAAAGAAAGGACGGGCGGAGCCAGGAAAATCCACAAAAAAACAAATAAATACACAGTAAATAAGTACATAAATAATTAACTGAGTACTGCCCAAATGTGGTTTACATTTTTTGTGTATAGTTTTTTTCTAAGTGACAAATCCCTTTCATGCACATGTATTTGCTGTGGAGGTTACTGCAGGGTTGTTTAATTATATTTACTGTTCAGATTTCAGTCAGCTGGGCCACACATTTTTAGTGGCTGATTCATTTGGACCAAAAAAAAGTACAATGACTCAGTATTTGGAGAATAAACTCATGGGTTTGGAGCCTGGAGTTTGTGACTGGAAATATCAAATAAAATAAAAAGGAATTTGTCAGTTTTTGCAAAGTTGAATTGAATTTTTTTCAAATATAATTACTACAGGTGTGTATTGGCAAAAACAATACCTCAGTGTATCAGTATTTTCTTACACCCCTGGTATTGTGCATTTTAGGCTATGGACAGTACTCTGTTGTACTGTAGGTATTTCTAATAATATACTAACTCTGAGTTTTACAAATAACCACAAACCTAGGGTGAGGGTTAGTGTGTGCACCTGGGCCCAGTTTTTTCCCGTGAGCTGCTTTTTGTTGCTGTTGGTTGCTGCATCCAACAGCCTAAATAGTATTTCCAAATTTCATTATGTTTGATTTCAACCTAAAGTAGTATTTTTTCTTTTTCAAATTATTTCAGCAGCTTCTTGATATTGAGCTGTCAGCTACACACATTTCATGTTCATTTCAGCACCAGGAGCTGTCCAGCAATTTCTTATTCTTATACACAAGACTTGTGTGTCACTTCAGTACGGATGAGAGTATAATAGATATTGTTCTGCTGAGAATACGTTCTCTGTTTCTGAATACGATTAGGTGTGATAATGTACAACTTATAATAATAGGAGGCACGTCAGTTCATCCATCCATCCATCCAACCATCCATCCATCCAACCATTCATCCATCCATCTTCTGGCTCCTAATCTTTTAAGGATCTAAGTGGAACTGGAGTGAATCTCAGCAGTCAGTGAGTCGATGTAGAGAGTACACCCAGTCCATCACAGGTTTATATAAAAAGACAAAGAAAGAGAAACTGAACTGTAATTACATCTACCACCACAAGGCCTGGACTTATTTAAATTTATATTTAAAAAAACTCTCTGGCTTGATATCCTGGGCCTTGAGCCACCTGTTGCTGACACCAGAGGCTAAGGAGTTAGCATTGGTTTGATGGACAAATCATGTGATCAGGCAGAGTAGTGAAGTCCCTGATCCCTCAGTAACACACCGAGCTGTCAAAACCTTTAAAAATCTGTTAAGACATTAAAGGTTGTGAGATCTGGTGAGAACCAGCGACTCTGGGGATACCAGTTGCGTGAGTGATGTAATTGTCACTTTATGGTGTGACAGCCCACACATTTCCTTGGTCCAAATCAACACCTCATATACTGTACCTCTGGAAAGTTTCTGGCAGAGGCCCAGCTTCAACAGAGGCAGGATAAATAAATAAAAAATGAGACAAGGACGGGATCTGAATGTTAAGGTGCATTTTGTTTGAATTGTCAGTGAAATGTTAGGATAAAAGTGATATGATTCACAGTGAGACATAAAAATATATTTTTTTCCTCACTGTGGACTGTCCAAGATAGTAAGAAGTAGTTATTGCCACAGACGTGAGTCCTGAAGGTCGCCCTTCAAAGGCCCAAACAGTCCTGGTAAATAAGAGGGTGTAAGGACGGTGGGAAGTGTGCGGCATGTAAAGCTGCCGTGTTTGTACATGTGATGGTAAATAAAGAGCAGGGATGGGAGTAGAGCAGCTGAGAGATTAGAAAAAGAAAGGTTTGGTGGAAATTGCCAATAAAATTGCTCCACTACAAGTCATCACTTCTGATTTCTACAGACAGCAGGAGGTAAAAAAAAAAAAGGCTAGGTGCAGCAAGAGTAAAGGAAACAATAAACAAATAAAAATTTAAATGTTGCCACTGTTATGATGCTACACATTCATTTTTTAGTAGCCCTACACAAATAAATGGACTGGGAAATAAATATCGAGGGGAATTATGTCTTCTCAGTGCAGAGGGGTGTCACGCCATTACGCAGACCCTTCTCCTGGGGGACAAGTTGAATAATGTACCGTGATCAAAATTTCATTAATCTGTTGCATGATTAAAACATAGTTAATAAAATATATCTGTGAGCAGCAGGGAGAGCATTGTAAAAGGCAGGTCTTCATAAAGTGATGAGAGATTGATGGGTCTGACCACTGAGCGGGGGAATTAAATTCTCAGTTATAAAAGTTTATTGAACTGGAAAACAATAGCCTCTGTTGAACTGCGATTTCTCACTCCTCTCTCCACGTAGGACTGACTTTGCTGGTGAAAACAGCCACATCTCAATCCAGGCTGTAACCCCCGCTCTGCTCCGTGGGACCGTGCACGGTGTGTCTGACAGGCATCAGCTCCAAGTGTTGATGGAGGTTGATAATAGCACCTGAGGCGCCTCTGTGTGGGCCTTATCGCTGTTTTCTCCGTATGCAAATTATTAGCTGCTGCCTCCTTTGTTAAGCAAGGTCTGTACAGTGTGCTCCTCTCCCTTTATCACCCCTGCTGCCAAGCCAGAGAAATGAAAAGCAATGCAAATATGCCTCCCTGGCTTTTAGGAGTTCGCAGATAAAGGAGGAAGACCTTCAAACCGCAATGCCTCATCTGCTTCAGTTTAGCCTTGACCGAGGCATGCAAATTACACCTGAATCATAAGGCGAGCGACGCCACAAGCTGTACGAGTGAAGAGCTGGGGCCGGAGATAGGCAAATCTCTCCAGACAGGGTAAACTGGCAGAAAATATCTGTAGGAAGATTACTAAAACTGGAGAAAAATGTAAACTTATTTATGTTCTGGACATTTTTCTTTTTTTAACAGTTGACATTAAAATGCTTACACAGCATTTATGTTCGGTATTTTATAGAGAGTGTACTGCTGACCATCAGCCATACGGCCCATATTCCCACCAGAGATTTCTGGACACTTTCACTAGGCTCCTGGTGTGGTGTGATCATAGACCGTAGAGAAGAAATGGACACAGAAATGGACATTTAATGGCTGTAGGGCAGTCAGAGAAAAAGACCAGAAGTCCTCTGCTGTGTTAGAAGCAGTGACTTTCTGAAATATTAAATCATTTGAGATAATCCATCCATTATCTATTGCTTGTTACTTTTGGGGGGCAGGGGGGGCAATGAATACACTTCCTAGCACCCATCACCATATATATATATGTTTATCACCATAAACATTCACAATATCTTTCCAAAAGAGTACTCTTTCTACAGAGTACTTCACTTACATCATGTCCCGTGGTCTGAAAGTTGTAGGGATGCCCTTCCTCATGCAGCCCAACTTGGGATTTAGGGAGAAGCTGGTATTCAAACCAGCACCTTCGAGTGGGAGGGCAAGCGGTACTTCCATTACACCACCACTCCAGCCCTATTCATTTCCAAAGAACAGATAAACAAAAATTAGAATTGTATATTCAGTGTATCACCATTCTCATGTGACTGAGTTAATACGACTGCCTATTGTTTTCTCTGAACCAATAATGATCTTTATTTACCAGCCACTGTCAAGCAGTACATCGTTTGTTGCCGAGACTCTGGGCTAAATTTAACCTGCTATCATTTTTACAGCTTAACTGCTGAAGCTCCATTTTAAATGTGCTGTCACGGTGACTTTTTTATGACATGTCATGTTTCTCTTTTTCCCCTCTTCTCTCCCCTCCGTGTGGCGTCTGTTATTTGTCACTGACAACTCAGATGAATGAATCGCTGTCTGTTTAGGTTTCAGCGCCATCACTCCGCCCCGGTATCTGATTGGTTGGGTTTGGTGTGACTCACTTGCAGCCTCTAAATAAATTTCATGGATGTCAGAAACGGGATTGATGACGACGACGTGACAGGACGTGGTGACAGTTTGGCATGTGCCCAAAAAAAAAAAAAAAAAAAAAAACAATTAGTGGTTTTTAGTCACAAATTGCCAAAAGTCATTAGAAACAGGATAATATGGTTAAAAACTGTACATTTAGAACATGACACATGCAGAGCGGATGAGGACGTGCGTGTCTGCCATCAATAAATCATTGAGTGGAAGAGGAAGAAAAGAGGAGGAAGAACATTAGTTCCCTAAACTGCATGGATACATCTCACTTGTTTTGGTCAGAAAAAAAAAAAAAAAAAAAAAAAAAAGCTGAAACTCCGCTTGCTGTCGGTTTTTAGGATTTTACTCTTTTTTTTTTTTATTATTGCATGCAACTTGAAGAAAATTGAAAATAAGACACAGTAGATGGCAGTATTGCAACAAGTGTATGCTTAAAATGTTAAACATTTTATGACTTACAGGAGACTTGTTGTTACAGGAGAATTGTTGGAATGGAACAGTTTTTCAATCAAAGAACAAAATATTGAAGTCACATGAGCAACAATTGTTTTAAATACGATGGGCCAAGACTTTCAAATGTGTTCTTGGCGCCCCCCAAAGGAGAGAACAGGCGGCTTTATGCCCTGTACTTACACCCAATTTTGAAATAAATACTTGAAAGATACAAAGATAAGAATATCTTTTAAAAAAAAAACACCAATTTGCACCTTCTGTGTGTGTGTGTATATATATATATATATATATATATACACACATACACATATTTTCTCAGATGTGACCCACATGGGTGACATACCTGTGGCTGATGAGAAGAGGGAGTCTCGGCCAATTCAACCCATGGGAGGAAGGAGCTCCAGGAGGAACATAAAGCGGACTTGCTCCTCTACCTTCCACGTTACTGCGGCAACCACACAAGATGGAGAGAGAATATTAGAATCCCCCCCCCCCCAACTCCTCATCCACCTAGAGTCTGGACAGGGAGTCAGACTGGACTGGACTGGACTGGACTGGTGTTGCTGGAACCAGCACAGTACGTAAGGACTAAGAGACTTACAGTTTTGGTGCATTAGGTGAGAGTGGAGAATGACCATCTGGAGCTCCAGCTGCTTGGTCAGGGCTGTAACCAGGAAGTTTCCATTTGCTTCAGGATCAATAAAAACCCACAAGTGTAGTGCTTCATCACGCCAAAAAAGAGTGAGAATTCCAGGTGCAAACTCCAAAAAGACAAGGCAATGGGCAGAAATCAAAACAAAACATACAAGCAAAGATCACTTTGCAGCCTGAGCATAACAAAGACAAGGTAGCAACCCACCCAGGAAGTGACCACAGGCAGGGTAAGGCACTGACTCCATGTGGAGCTGGAACTTAAATACAGCATTTCCTCAATTAGAGACCACACCCATCAGTGCTTGGGCTCGTCAGCTCGTCAGGATTCAGAGCAGCTGCAGAAGACAAAACAGCAGCAAATCAACAGCTGAGGGCAGGGAAGTCACACACAGCACAACAGCCTCACTTTAAATGCCCTCTGTATATGACTGCAGCTGAATCAAAATGGTGGGGGGGGGGGGATCTACAGTGGTAAAGAGAGGTGGCTATTAATGCATCATCAGAGGTCAAAGGAATGCAGTACACACATAATGACTGCTGATCAGGAAATCTCACACTGTTTTATTTCCTGCTGGTGGATTTATACTCCTCACAGTCGTCCCTCATGTGTTGAAAAAGAAGCTATAACGAAGATGAGAGGAAAAAGGAAAGGAAAAGAGAGAAGGAAACAATAAAATTGATTTTTTTACTTCATAATCTGGAGCATGAGAATAATGACTGAAGCAGTACGTGAAATTAGATGGATGGATGGATGGATGGATAGATGGATGGATGGATGGATGGCTGCAGTGCTGATAGACAGATGGACGATCGAGGGTTGATGGAAAGATAGTTGGCTTAATTACTATATAAATTGTCAAGTAACTGGATGAATGAATGGGAGGTTTGATGGATGGCTGTATGGATGGATGGAATGGTGGATTGTTAGAAGGTTAGAATACATTTAAAAAGAGATGTTTGGATTAATGCAATGAAAAATGGATGGATGAATAGATGGATGGATGGATGAATAGATGGATGGATGGATGAATAGATGGATGGATGGATGGATGGATGGTGGAGTAGATATTAGTAGATATTGTGTTTGGACAGATTGAAAACAAAACATAACTTGAAGGATTTCATTGGATGAGTTGTGTATTTGACCAATGAGAACACATTTGTATAATAAGACAGCAGTCCTTTTTCTAAAAGAAACAGTACATAAGTAAACAGAACTCTGTGACCTACGACACGACTCCTAGAGGGCAGAGACTCAAAGACGGAAGACACGTGAGTTCAGTGTTAGAAAGTATTACATCAGAGCCTGTTGTCCTGTCCACTGTCACTGTGCCCACGCCATCCTTTCAGCCTGGAGGCTTGAAGAAAAGCAGAGGTGAGGTCACCCTGAATCAAGAGAACAAATAAAATGAGCCAAGACTTCTGCCTGTAGCTGAATCGTAGAAAGGCCCCAATGGAACAATCAGAAATATACCACAGATCAGTAACAACCAACAGACGTCATTTCTTCTTCTGAGTAAGTGATGAACATACAAAAGACTCGATGGCAGATACCTGAACTCCACTGTTCCTCGCCCTTCAGTCTTCTTATACATTTTCTGCTCAATAAACGACCATGTTGTGGGAGACTAAATACGCAGGAAACAACTTTGCTCAGAATCTAAAAGGAAATTCTGCAATTTTTTTTCTGCAGCCAGGGAACATGAGTTGAATGGAATTGTGCGTCATCTCCAGTGTTTGGTGAAAACTAAGCAAGGTTGTGTAGTCAGACCTGATCCATCCTCTCCCATGAGTCATTACTGTTGGTGCAGCTTATACTGTTAGCAAAGCAGAACAAAAGTCAAGGAATAAAAACAAAAATAATTTGATCAGAAAGTTTTTTTTTTTAAGTATCGTTGACATAGTTTTGAGCTTTCCACATATTGTCCAAGTTTCAGATGTTCTGGACGTATCAGTTCTGCCTCTGGCATATTTTTTTCTTTCGTCCTCAGAGTTCTTCTGTTCCTCTATTTCTTTGTACTACTTGCTTTTTTTCATCCTCTTCCGTCTTCCATCTTTTCACCACGTTCTAATTCCTCCTCTCCTTTGTGATTTTCTACTTTCTCTAGCTTTTTCCCTCCTGTTTTTTATTCTCGTCCTTCTTCCTTGTGTTTCTCCTTCTTCTCCCAAATACAAGTCCTTTATTGTTGCTCTTCCTCCTTCTCCTCTCCTTTCTTTTCCCTCCATCACTGTCTTATTCCTCTGTTCCATTTCCCTTTTTTCTTTCATGTTCTATCATCCCTCTTCTCACTTTTCATTTTTTTTTCTTTACGAATTTTGACGTCAACAAAAACACTACCACAGTTTCTTGATGAAATAACAACAGTGTCACAGACCACTTTACAAAACAGAAACCACTGCTTTATTTGGCACAGTCAGTGACAGTAAGTACATTTTACTGCTAATATTTAGTAGTACCACCTGCTCATTCACCAGTATTTGATTCATTCTTTCACCTTCTACAATTGAATTCTGTTTACTGTCTCAGATAGGAGAAAAGGGAAGGGCAACTGGGACGGGCGGTGGGTAGTCAAAGGGCGAGCGGGGTTACACCCTGGAGTCCACCACATACAGAGACCATTCACACTCATATTCACACCTGCAGTCAATTTACAGTGAATAGTTGTCTTCATCTGCATGTGTTAGGACTGGGGGAGGGAAACAAAGGAAAACACACACAATGAATTACCAATAGGGTTCGAACTGGGAATGTGCCAATAGAAATGGTGGTATTGGTATCGGGCTCGATACTTCAAATACTTGACCTCATAATCGAAAATATGCTGATCTAGTGATCCAATCCTCCAGAAAGGCTGTCAATAAAACCAGCTGGTCAGCCCGTGTTGTATCTTGACTAACTACAGTTCAGGGTCTCATCAGAGTTTATTTAAGGTCAGCAGTCGGGATGAATTTTAACACCAGGGACAAAGACAGGAGACAGACTAACTGTGAGATTTGTTCTGTAGACGAGCCTTAGCTCTGAATACGCTAACGTCGCTCCACAGTTGAACAACATTCTGTTCATTTATTTATTGAAACGTGGAAATATTGCTACAAAAAAAAAATTATGAATACTATTCTTTTTTTTAAACTTGTAATCAGCTGTTGATGAGAAGAAAATAAATAAAACATACTCTAGCTGAGTGTCTTTGCTGTGGTTTGGAGTTGAGTTCACTGCATCTTAAACAAAACCTCAACTAAAGAAGTATTCATGATGGTACTCCGCATTAGCAAGTAACCACATTAAACATAAAATATTTGTATTACAAATTGCTAACTGAACAACCCATGTTTGAGCCTTTGTTCTTGCTGCTGTAAGGCAAGAGCACTAACCACTACTCCACTGTGTGGCCCATATAATATTCAGTGTATGGATAACAATACAGTGACACGTACAGAGCAGGCAGGGGAAATGAACGAGACAATAACGTCTCATTAATGGACAAACACACTCATGAGATTACATCTCTGTATAGAGAAGATAAGCCTGAGAACCACAGCAGATCTTTGGCTGCGTCTGTGAGGAGAGTCATGTTTATTTCATCAGGTTTCTCTTCTCCCGCAGAAGAGTCCCCCCCCCCCCTCTGGGGTGAAGATGAACAATTTTTACTGGGACCATGACGTTGTTGAGACAATTTGTTGCTGTTATTTGTTACAAATTAAACTGTTCCCTTTGTTTGGCGTGACATTGAGATTTACATTTAGATGACTGTATCCAGACAGGGTTGAATCATCGCGGTATTATTATTATTTTAACGATAATGGCTAAGAACAGGATGGCAAAATTGTTCTTTTAATTGCAGCTGTGAGAGGAGCCGTAAAAACAAACATCAACGTGGCACAGAGAAGTAGAAAATACATTTTATGCCTCGTCTTTGATGAAAAGATAAAACGTGAATCTCGGGGCAGAGGAGGGCTTTTCAGGCAGGTGGGGACAGAAATGGATAACATGTCCTTGACTGTACTGCAAACTGACAGTGTCCACAACACACTGCACAAGCCACAGAGCAGGTCAACACACTGTTAAAGACTTGGACTGTAAACCTTTGTGTTTGCAAAAAGGTTCCTATTTTTTTTCAGTGCCTTAAAATAATAAAAGTTAAAACAGAAATAATTCTCATGTCAGTAAACCCGCCGTCTGTCTCATTATAAGTTAAAAACAAATTGTGCACATGCAAACAATAATGTATTTTACATCACTCAGTGGCCGCGGAAGTGGTTTAAAAGAAAAGGAACAGACTTGAGGATGTGCCGATAACAGAAAGGTTAGGTTTTCACAGTGATGACGAGCCTTTTAACCACCAGCCTTAGAAACCTGTTGAAAAATGTTCTTAAATTAATGTTAAGAAATATGTCTAACAATTGACCAAATATTACCCTAAAAACAAAAGGACAACATTTGGCCACAATAGACGAATAGATGTTCATCATCGACATAATGATGAACATCTATCACTTTTGATCAGAATTTAGATTGACAATGAAGGTGCTTTAAAAAATGAAAATAAAAATGTGTCGGCCCAGTGTACAAGGGTAAGTCAAAAAGTTGTAGGACAAACAGAAAAAAAAAATCTTATTTTTAAACATTTTTGAAATGAAGAATTTTTCCAGGTGGAACTAGATCAAACAGGAACAGGATTTGTCTCAGAGGGTTAAAAATCTTGATTAAATTAAAAGTAAAAATCTCAACACTTGACAAAAGTGTTTTAACATGTTTCAGTATTTAAAATCAAACACCTTTTAAAATGATAAAATCTGCCCTGAATTTTTTTGACTTACCCTCAAAGTTTCAGACATGCTGTCAGACTGTAACACAATTATTTTTTTACTACTATTTACACCTTATATGTAGCTTAGGTTTCGTGTGTAGTTTAATGCCGTTGTGCATTGACAGGATGTCACATGTTTGTTTTGAGTACTTTGGAAATTACAGTTAGGAATTTTCCTGTATATACATGAATACTGGAAAAACAAACTTTGTTTTTGATCAATCAAAAATCTAATGGTTTTAACATCAGTCTTTTCTTGTAGAAATGTAGAGATTTTGTTTTTGTTTTTTTGTTTTTTGCAAGAGCTGCAACAGAACAAAACAGAAACAAATCCATACCTCATGTTCATTTTGAAGTTGGTACATTTTGTAAAAATGCAATTACAACTAAAAGCAGCAGTAAAGAAACGACGTAGTGTGAAAACCTTGGAGACAATTTTCTAATATTTGAAAAAACAACATTTCTTACCTAAGGTTTTGATCTGTTACCTGTTAAAAATGTCTGGTTGGTATGAAGAATCAAATCAGACCGTGGTCCTCAGGAACTCTTCAGCAGCTCTGGTCTTTTATACAACATCAGTGGGCGAAGTATTAGGTTCATTGAAAATACAGAAATCAAAGCAGCTGGTTGACCTTATTTTATAAACTAAACTGTACTAAATAAATGGACGTTGTTTGCTGAAAACAGTGAAAGGTTTGTTTGTATTTTTTCCCCTGATATATAAATATTATCTGATGAAGATTTTAGTGTTGTTGCATTTTTAGAAACTGTAACAAATAGTTTTTGTTGTTTTTACAGAGCAGAGGCCGGACGTAAGGTTTTACTGAATTCACATTGCATGGGATGAGAGCGACGCTGGAGAAGCTAATAAAGTGTTGGTAATGTGCTTTGTGATGTGGTGGAAGCTCTTAGCTTTCAGCTCTCAGCAGATGGGATCTCTCCCACAGGATCAGATAAAAGACGTACATCTCGTACGCAGCAGAGCGTGGCAGATCCACCAAAGGCTGCTCCTCAAAGGCACGCTGTCCACGGGTGCTCGCGCAGAACGCCTTCACATAATACAAAGGTGCCAGACACACGCGCTGCAATGATGAGGTTAAATTGCATCATATCAATCCTGAAGTAAAGCAGGGGAGGGGAACCAGGTTAAAACAGTAGCCCGGAGCCCGACTGTGGAGAAGCTGCAGGACAGATAGTGACGTGATGACGCACAATCCAGAATATTTAAAGCAGCCAGTGGGCTGAGAGCACTTTGAGCAAAACAGCACGCCTCAATGTTGTTACTCTGCTGGCCTAATCATTAGTCAGGCTGTCTACCAATGGCAGCCCTGCTTGTTAAAGGTTATTCAAGGCTAAGCTGGGCGGAGATTTAAAAATACAAATCACCTTCCAGTGTTGCCCCCTACTACAGTGTCAGTGGGAGCTGCCACACCATCAGAATATTGTCTAAATCCTCCATATGTGTCCTAGTAGTTGATGGAGCGCCCTCCTTCAGTCTGCGAAAGCCCTTGCCTCCGGAGATGACCGCTGCAGAGATCACCCTGTCCCTGCGTCCCCCATCCCTCTCACAAGGACGCCCCCTCACCCACATTTCTGGGTCATCACAGAGCTCGTAGATAGATCCATCTTCCACACTGTGCTCCAGCGACTCCAAGGAGTCGGACGCCTCGTCGCTCTGCGCCGTTAATGGGCGCCCGGGCAGCCCCGACGTGGAGCGCAGCCTATACTGCAGCAGGACGCCCCGTCCTTTGCCTTTGCCCTCTCCCTGATGGGAGCTGGACTGCTGCAGGGAATCCTGGGAGGAGGTGTCGCTGCGGTCCTCCCCTCCCCCTATAGCTGAGTCTGGACTTTCCCAAACGGACTCTCTCTTTAGAAGTTCAGGAGACAAGGTGCTGGTGGTGGCTACCAGGAAGTCCACAGGCCCACAGTGGGCATTAAGAGAGACCACACCCT